AGGTCGTTTATTTGGAGGAGCCATAGTGGGTCGACTGCGGACTGGTGAAAATGTAGCATCTTCTTGGCCGAGTTCGAGTACTTCGGCTGGCAATGTGCAGCTGGCTGCGTTTGCTATGTGCGACGTTGCAGTCTATAGGAGTACTCGTCCTAGTCCAGTCAGACGACTTGTATGATCCGTTCGGTTCTTAGGGTTTGGCGAACAGGCCCCGGATTTTTCATTGAGAAAGCTACCTATCTACCAAAGACTGTTGGCGTCCTGGGTGTTCATGGTCTCCAGGGCATGGCTTATTGTTAACGAACACCGCTTCTGGATATGCACCATTTGCATGATCTCACCTATACCTCCATTATCTGTGATATATAAAGCATGGATGCGGGGGCAATCGAGATTAAAACCGCTTGCGGAGAGTCAGAAACTTGTTCTTGGCTTTGCTTATGAAAAGCATTTTACGCGCCTACTTCGTCGTGGCTGCGCTGCATGCCAGGATTGCGGTCACCATCTTCACTTTTACAAAAGTTGTGCGCGAACGGACAGCGGTTTGGTAAGACATGAAGTATCGGGCCGAACGCACTGTATCAACTTTGAATAGCAGAGGACCTTGGTTTCTAGTGGCCATTTTCTTCCACCTGGTGCTACATATTAAATTTGGTTCCGGGCATCATACGTACATCAATATCATCCTAATCGTGTTTAGGTTAAGGCGATCTGGCACAAAGTGAACGACCACCTCTGTTAAGTGGTTTATCCGTCCCAGGACCTCGGCACAGGGTGCAATAAGGAATCGCCCATGAACCTGTAGATAAGTAACACTTATTAGGTTTCCGGGTTGAACTAGACCTGAGATAGATACTAAACACTCGAAGAGTGGCTGTAACATGTTATAGGCCAGTTTCATCTGATAACCCTTCTTTCAATTCCGCTCGTTCTAATCGCACAGAAGAAAATACATCCACCACCTTGACGGAGCATGGCACAGTCGTGCCAGTCGCGAGTTTGCCCGATTTTTCGACTGTTTTATTTATATTACGGTAGATCGATTTACCACTTTTACCACGGTCATTTTGAGGCGAAGATGCGAGTCAGGCCTCAAAGCAGAATAATAATAAATATAGGAGTAAGGCAGTTTTGGAGAAAAGATAAGGCCATGCTGAAGCACCTCAGCGTAGAATGCGAACTTCGTAGTAGGCAAAATGCAAGCTGTACGAAAACTTCCATCCTGTACAAACCGCACAAAATAACACCAGGTCAACTGAAGTCTGTAGTGGTTGCGCTCGCGTAACGTGTATCCTCCTCCGGTTTGGCAAGGAAGGAACTTTATTTAGTGGCGAGTCATATACGCTACCTCGCAGTGGTGCTAAGCGGGCAGTTGTGTCCCCTTTATAGGAAGATCGCTTCCAAAGCAAAACCCCCATACGTCCTAGAACACTGCAGCCAAACTATTACCAGTACCGTGATCAACCCGAACCACAAGTTTGGCACCACGTAGAGGTTGTACTGCAAGCTAGCCACCCTCGCAACACCGGTCAACACGTGGGCAAACAAACCGGCTTTCAAGATCCTTTAAAAAATGTCAACAATCTAGAGCTATGGACAGGGAACAAAGCTGCTAGCTACCGAGGAGGCGGCATGCACGCGGTTAACAAAACCCGACCCATGCTAGAAACGGTGCGGTCGTTGAAGCTGCCATGGCCAAACACTGGACGTAGCCAGCAACCACACAAGTATTCAAAAACCTAATCAGCCACTTGGCACGCTGAGCACTTTAGATGTGCAACCAATTGTTTCCCTTTCCTGTATTAGTGGCGAATGCCACCTAACAGTGCATCTGCGCTTATTAATATAAATGCCTGAAGAAGAAGCAATAGAAAACAGTTTTTTGCGAATAGCTCACCACATGCTATTATGCTCTGGGAGACATCTATTAGCGTCAATCTCCTGGGCTCCTATGCTAACTTGCATATTCCTTATCCGGCTGCTGAATTGTGCCCCCTCCGAGTCCGTAATATATTAGTGTCCCTTATTTTCTTTAATCGCGAACGCATTCTAGTCAAACGCCACAATGTGATATTGCAAGTAACAAGGTTAGCTTTGGTGTACAGCCTAAGAAGTTTGCCAAATGTGGTTTAATGACAGCAGCACCATTATTTCATTGCGTACGTACTGTAACTTGTTAGCGTTGCTTTTCTTTATCACCTTCTTTCCTGTGACCTAGGAACCAATGACAAATGAACCCACCTAATCGTTGTCGTCCACAGAGAAGGTCCAACGTTGGCCCTACTAGAATGAACAGAGCGCTCATTTCTCTAACTTGCCCATAACATTCACTTGACGTCAGCTAAAAGCTTGATCAGTAACGTTCTACTTACACTACTGGTACCTCTACAATCCCTGGAACCAATCCACCTAGGCCCCGAAAAGTTGGGTTTGACCATACTTATTTTCGGAAAAGCTTCACTAGCTTGAGTTTGGGAAACGGCATTGATACTTAATGTTTATTAGTTTTCCAGAGCCTGCCGGCAATTATTAAACGGGCGACGCGATGAGCGGCATTAAGAGTAATTTGGTTTCATCGTGAATGCACAGCACACGCTAAAACAAAGTTGCACTTAATTGAAAAACTACCTATCCTCCGGTGGTTTTCTTTATTCATATTATTCTTGCACATAATTCCTGGGCTTTATACTCTCTGCGGATTACAAGCACAATGACAGCAAACCTCGTGCATTAGACCAGATTCTATAGATTTTGCCACTTGTACAGGATGAAAGCAAACGGCGACGAGTAACTTCTACTTCATTCATGCTGCCTGTGCCCTATACTATGTCAAATTTTTGAACAGCAACCGATATTCTGTTCAGCAAATTAGCAATGTGGTGTACATTTTCCCAATTTCTGGATCATGTCTTTGTGTCATTTCTCGCGTGGCCGGGAATAAAAGTTGTTGGTTATACAATACCACGTATTAAACCGTCTTTCTTGAATGCGAATTGGCAGCAACAGATATTAAACAGTGGAAATATCCGCTAGAGATTTATAGCTTTATTTAACTGTAAGCCCTCGTATGAGCGTGCATGTATTTCGCTCAGGGGTAACTGCGTTGGAGGGCAAGGTGGACCTATACGGAGTTGCTTAAAAGCGAGAAAGAGATCAGCAGGGATTCAGTTGTGGCAGACGCCGCAAAGATGATTTGGTATCAAGTGAACTGAGTTGGGGCAGGGAGGAGAAACGCCAAAACACCTCCGAAGTGTTTTAGTGTTATAATTATCGTGTATCTGGAAGTTTACACTAGGCACATAACAGCCATATTATTGCTTAACTTCGCTCCTTATCTCTAGACTTCCTGAACAGTTCACCTCCACCCGCTTCCCTGGGCTTATAGAAGACCGCAATGGGAATTATAAACATTGTTATTACCATAGTTCATATACGGGTTATTTAGTTTTACTTATGTGTTGGCTGACAATACGCATGAAAGTAGAACGGTTGATCGACCAACATAACCAAGGGTTTGTAATACAACGCAGCACACTTGTCATTATGGGGACGATGCGAGGCGCTTATGGTTGAAGGGTCAAGATTCAGTGCTCGTCAAATGTATAGATTTTCACATGTAATCTCGTTGTTGGTCGCAATTAACATTTAAGTAAATCTTGTTCAAAGCGGTCACAGCGTCCGTTAAAGAAGCAGAAGGAAATGGGGAGTTGCCCGCCCGAAAACGCTGCGCACAATGAAGCGACTAACCTCATTTGATCAAATAAGGTGATAACAAAATCCTCAAGGCCAGCTTATTTAGAATGTTGCCTGCATTCCTGACCCTTTGGCCTTAGGATCACGGCTGGGAACGCTCATCATAAGGGTTAATGAATGACACCACGACTAGTTTGAACTAGTTTTGTGTACACGGACTGCAAAGTACAATCATAATGCTAGCAGCTAGTCTGATTGAACCAAATCTTTGCCCATGTGCTCACATGATGCATACTTCCAATCGATCCTACAACCAGTAAATAAGCGTTGTTGCAAACATTATTGTCGGGAACTGAAGCCAATGTGGTTGTAGTTCCGAGCTATATTGCAATGGTCCAAGGTTCGGAGCCTTTTTCCCAGTTAGATGAGGGCAAGTGAGATCCAAGCGCCTCCTTGGTTGCAGAGTTTTCAATCGATTAAAGCTGAAGTTTCAGCATGCATCCAGATTGCTGCTGGTGGAAGGTAAAACATCAGGTTAGGTACTCAAAACTTCTGTAGTTTTACGATGAAGAAATGTAAAAATAGGGGTGAGCCATCAACACAGTAAGTTGCACCTGTCTATTACTTAAACATTGTTAGGGGTTTGCTTAGTAGTGCTGCGCCCCAAGCCTTCATTGATTATTTTCTATAATTTCTGCGTTATAAACCTTTTTCATTGGCGTGGTTTTATATAAAATCTGAGCTCCTTTTTTCTGCGTATATATCTTTTATGCAAATGTTTTTAGAAGCTGACGGATTGTTTGCTGGTTTTGTTTAAGTCCATTCAGATTTGCTGTACTAGCCGACACAGGGGCGCGTTCTTAATATAGGGTTCAAAACGGTTGTGCTCTGTGCTTGCCAGCTTCAACGCATCTTTATATACAGTAACTAATAGTTTAAAATATATGCAGTTGTAAGGTGTATTGTACTGAACGATGCGCACAGACATACCGGCTAATGTTCCCTTACGCATTTCGCAGTTAGGCACCATATATTAAATTATGAACATATAAATTTTGACAAGCTGCCGTGCGAATACGCAATTACACATTTTAGGATATTGCATAATCATAGTCTTATTGATTATATTTTTATTCAGAATGCATTTCCAGATGGATTCACGTGCAAAGGCAATTCGCGATTTCATAATAAAAATGAAAATGCACTGATTTCTGTAAACCTAACAAACATATATGCTACCGATGCTGCTGGCTACGCGAAAACTAACGTTCTTTTGTATCCTCAGAATTCATTACACGCCGGTGATTGTGTTTTGTTCCTTGGCAAAACGCTGTCCCTGCGGCCTTAATCCACTTCCTGTAAACCGATTCTTTGCCCTCTACCCGCAGTACCGTCGTCATGGTAAGTCTGTCTTCATGCACTTTTGATTTCACCGTAATTTGTTTTAACAGATAAGGTTGCAAAATATGATGTAATCATCAGAATGTCCGTTAATTTCTGCCTCTGAAGCTGTTTTTTATTTTCTTCTTTCAAGACCTGTCCGCACAGATGTAGCCCATCGTGGCTTCTTGTGTATTGTTCGTCTTACCATTTGATGAATTTTTGGTCTTAGCACCACCAGCGCCTATTGGTGTACCGCTTTTTGCGTCGACTGAATCCGCTTAATCTGATGGCTCTATCCGTTCGTTGTGACCCGGTGGCTTAGGGGTAGCGGTCACAACTAACGTCCTAATGGTCCCGGGTTCGGTGCAAGCTAACTCTATCTGATGAGATGTAATAAAATCGAAACGCGTCATAGTAGTGCAGTGTTTTCATTTTCTCACATGTCAGTTCTTCGCTCTGACCGCACAAATCCAGGTGGCGGTGTCGCACTGCACTATGACATCTCCCTCAGTTACAGCATGTTAACAAACACTGCCCTCCAGTCTCCATACACCATGTGGTGCGAGGTCGTACTAATCGCCAAACACTCCAGCTGACTTGGTATCATTTACCGCCCCCAAACATCTCCCCGAGAAGGACGCACGATTACTGCACGACGTCCACCTTGTTATCCCACAAGCGCACACGCTTTCTTGTCGTGGGAGATTTCAACCTGCCCCGTCTGTTTCAATCTGTCCCGTCTACTAACTCATTTGCATCAGGCCTCATTAATTTTCTTCACACGGCCCCGTTGTACAGCCACACGTATTAGCCGACCTGATTCCGATCCAACAACCAACCATCCCTGCTAGGTTCCATCCTCTCTAACGAAGAACTGGTGGTTAAGCACGTTGAGTATGATGCCCCTTTGGGGCTTAGCGACCACTGCATCCTCCGTTTCGATTTTATATGTTTCGCCGAAAAACCCGTCAGCACGCCAACTTTACCAAACGCTGGACTGATTACGAAGTTGAACCTTCTCATTTCCACTAAAAGCTGGTCACCCGAGCCCCAACCGAGTGCCGACAGCGTGTGGTCAAGCTTTTGCTTTACCCTACGTGAACTCTGCTCCACTTCGACGAACGGCAAAGAAGTTTCCATAACTAAGAGACGCCCAGCACTCACCCGAAATCGTACACGGAAGTGAAGATGTGGCGCACAGTTAACCTACCGGACGATGCCCACGCACTTCAGATGGACCTCGACCGTCTGCATCAGTGGTCCATAGAAAACAACCCTCCAGTTAACGCTTCGAAATGTCGCGTCCTTTTGCCCGCCCTTCTGCTTTTTCTCCTATATATTACCTGGGAGCGTCTATCCTCCAGACCACTTCAGCCGAAAGACTTGGGTATCATTACCCAGACTAGTCTTTCCGTATCCGCTTCCTGCCGGAAAGCACCTTCTGCTGCTAACCGCATGGTGGGATTGCTGAAACGAGCCTTCGGTCAAATTGACCCTAGCGATTTCCGCCTCAACACTTTTCTTCGACCCCACTCTGAGTTTGCTATTCAGGCTTGGAGCCCTTGGTTGTTGAAGGACCAACGCATACTCGAAGCCCCACAACCTCGAGCAACAAAACTGGCCCGAGGTCTCAAGCACCTAGATTATACACAACGACTTCACTGCCCGGGCCTCTACTCGCTTAAGTACCGACGTCTACGGGGCAATCTGTCCCTTGTATTTTTGATCTTATCCAACCCTGGACATCCCTGTCGTCACCTACTCACACTGCACCAATCGTGCTCCCACCTACGTGGTCACCCACTGAGGCTCACACATCAGCACAGTCGTCTGAACTGCAGACGACACTACTTCGTTTTGCGAATCTGCCGACCGTAGAATGCTCTGCCTGCCGATTTACTCTTGGCAGCCACCGCGGTGGATTTTAAAACCCGCCTGGACTGTCATCTAGCCGAACTACACCGCGATATTCGCTGATATAACTACCTTCTACTTGGAGTTTCTTTCTTTTTTTCCTTCTACCTACTTCCTCTCCATAGCCGTTTCGGAGGGCGTGGTGGGATGTCACGCTTTGATCCGGCATGCATTTTGTTTACATGCCGCATAAGCCCCATGAAGATACGGCTAACACGCGAGTCCACCCCGCTATAAGTTTGCTTGGCCTTTCATTAGACCCGACCCGAACTCTTTTTACTCTAAGGGTCATGTAAAGCTCGAGCTTTTATTCCCATTAAATGCAGTGTTCCATCCCATTTGTTTTTGGTCACTAGCAGAGGCAAAATTTAATATAAAAATAATTTGCGTGATCTATCCAGCTATGTTGTTAAATAAGATTGCAAATCTTTAGTAGTTCATTTTTTGCCTAAAAGGGGTTATTGAGTTCATTGGGTAGTAGAGACCAGAAGAGAGGTCACGTGTCAGCCCTTTTACTTCCTTGTCTTACTAGTAAATCAATAATAACTAGTAGTAGATGTGGTTGCTGTGGCGTCGCTCAGAATGTAATAACAATGCTGCAGAATCATTGAATACTCAGTATGCGGGTGTTTAGTTGACGTTTGAAGCTCGCTTCTGACCGTGCATTGACAGTCGGATCCGGCAGTCCGTTCAATTCACTAATTATTCCAGTAGAAAGCAATGTCTGAACTCGGTTTTAACAGCTTCCAGCTGTGACCGGGAGTCGAACTGCCAGGTCTCAGTTAATAAAAACTGCCTCTGCTCACTTCCAATGCTCTTCGTAGAATGCTCTTAGGATTGGTTCATTAGTTCCTTGAGTAGTAAATAGCAGGAGTAAGCTCCCTTCTCAGCTCCATCGCTTCCCGATCATTGTTGGGAGGCTCGCATTCTTACGCGACGGAAAATCCAGAGAGGCGTTCGCACTCGTAGCTGAAACAACACCATCGCGGCATCTTAAACAAGTGGGAACCAAGTAGTCGTTTGAAGCAATCCTCCGTCTTCGAATCAGCGACGGGTCGCGGTAACCGGTTACAGTCCTTCACAAGGCGAGTGAATGGAGCAAGAATGGACCGTAATTTGAGCCTCTTTGGTCCAAAGGTTTTTCATCCTTGGCCTCTAGTCGAAATCTCAACGTTGAGATGGAAGAATTCATGCAATTTACTCCCCATCGCTCCTTTGAGGATACGTCGGGTAAAAATAAAATTCCCGCGACGACGACGGTAATCCATAGAAACCAGATTCAAACATCGAAGCCGAAGAGGATAAGAGAGGTCACGTAACTCAGAGGCAAACTTCTATCAACGCCGTGGGACCTTTACAATTATGTCAGGTTTAAAGCTCGTAAGGGGGTAGGCAGCAGGAATGCCTTTATCCTAGAATCGGGCGCACATGCGAGGTGAAGAAGAGTCTAAATTGTTTCGGCGTCAGGTGGCAGAAGGCTCTTTGGAGGGCGTGAAACACCCTGTAGGCAGCGGCAACCTTCTTCATTGTATCCTGAGTTGGGCTTACTTCTGGGGAGACAATTACGACAAGACGTTTCTTAGAAGCGATATTTTTGAGCAAAAACCACCTATGCGGCAAGCGCTAAATGTTTTAGGAGCGTTAATAAGCAGGATCGAACACTTATCTTGATTAATGGGTAAGCGCCACTGAATCGACAATTTATGCAGGTCACGCATCTCTTGTAGTTGGCCGGTGGCCTAGTGGTCTGCACGTTTGGTTTGCAACCGTAAGGACACCGGTTCGAATCGGCGTAGGGGTGGGCGTCCACGCGGTATACTCAGCCCGCGCGCGACTGGTGTTGGTCGCGCGGCAGCGAAGCGCCGTTACGGCGTACAGCTGACACAGTCGATCAGCATCCTCTAGAGGATACCTTCCATATCTTTATCTCCTCTTCATAAATCAAGCATTGTGATTGTAGCTCAGACGGTGGATCGTTACTGAATATGTTGAAGAGTTCGGGGCCGAGGACGTAGCCCTGTGGGACACCGCTGGTCATATGTACAGGTCGGAATACGTTTCATTCTCACCAGCATGGTGCGACTGTGCAGGAAATCGGAAATTCAAGAGAAAGTTTCCAGCGACGCCGATTCTTTGGAGTTTGAAGAGAAGCTGTTCATGCGGGACCTTATTAAAAGTTACTGAAATGAACGAACAACGACCGGGCGTATGCCAATGTGCAATGAATTTGTCCTTTTTTCTGTAGTCCTAAGCAAGTTGGTAGAGCAGAAGCGAGCGTTGCGAAAACCGTGCTGTGCATCGGATATCAGATCCAACCGCTCGAGATGAAGGCGAAGTGCCCATTTCAGGACCCGTTCCATGATTTTGCACACTATCTATGTAAGGCAAATGGGCTAGTAACTTGCTGGATCTTTCTGGTTCCCTCCTTTGTATATGGATTTGTTGATTCATATCTTCCAAGTGGTCGGGAGAAGTCCGGACAGAAACGATCGGTAGAAGGCCTGCGAGATAGGTGATGCAATGTACTGAGCCATAGTCTTGAGAAACAAGGGATGCAAGTCGTCAGGACCAGGGAATGAGTAAGAATCCAACTCACAGAGAAGTAGTATAGACGAGGTCTCCGTGACGTCGGCGATTATTTAAGGGGATACGGTTCATCCTCTGGATTCGGGTGGGCTAAAGGAGTTTGCGTAGCCCAAGGGCAAACTTCGAGGCTATTCACTGACCTTTATCGAGTCTGTCACTTTCATGCTTCGACAGTGGTGCTATGGCTGGAAGATGGAATTCAAGGATTAGACGGATATGGGAGATAAAGAAAAGTCAATATTTGCGGCGTCATTTTAGAGAATGATATCCTTATGATGCCCGACATCCTATTCGCCGCAGCAGTTTTTTAATGCGTCACGGGTACTTTTTAGATCGGTGGATACTATTGTCCCCAGGTCGTTTTCCTAAATGGCAGTCTTGAGTAAGTACCCGCCAATGTGATAACTGCCCAGGGGGTTTACAGCACCAATGGGAAGGACAGAGCAGTTATCATTGTTGGTCGGCAAATCCCACTTGATAAACCGAGCGTACAGGAGATCTAGCGTTACCTGTAATCG